TAATTTCTTTAACGTGAAATAAATCAGTTCTCTATTAGTTCTTTAACGTGAAATAAATCAGTTCTCTATTAGTTCTTTAACGTGAAATAAATCAGAAATTTCTATTAGTTCTTTAACGTGAAATAAATCAGGAGTTCTCTATTAGTTCTTTAACGTGAAATAAATCAGGAGTTCTCTCTTATTTCTTTAACGTGAAATAAATCAGGAGTTCTCTCTAATTTCTTTAACGTGAAATAAATCAGTTCTCTATTAGTTCTTTAACGTGAAATAAATCAGAAATTTCTATTCGTTCTATAACGTGAAATAAATCAGGAGTTCTCTATTAGTTCTTTAACGTGAAATAAATCAGGAGCTCTCTCTTATTTCTTTAACGTGAAATAAATCAGGAGTTCTCTATTAGTTCTTTAACGTGAAATAAATCAGAAGTTGCTATTAGTTCTTTAATGTGAAATAAATCAGGAGTTCTCTATTAGTTCTTTAACGTGAAATAAATCAGGAGTTCTCTATTAGTTCTTTAACGTGAAATAAATCAGTTATCTATTAGTTCTTTAACGTGAAATGAATCAGTTATCTATTAGTTCTTTAACGTGAAATAAGTCCCTATCTTCCATTTCCACTCTTTCTTATTTGTTCAACAGGAATTAAACAAGCACCATCAAATTAGTGCTTTATAATTGTTTCCCAGGAATTAAAAAAAATAGCTTCTAAATGTTATTTTTTATTTTTTTCGCAGAAATCTTGATCAGTAGCTTTTAATTCATGTGTATTAGTTGTTCCACTGCAATTAAATCAGAAGCTTCTAATTATTTTCCCTTTGTTCCTGCATAAGAATTAGGTCAGTAGCTGTAAATTATTCACAGGAATCAAATCAGTACTTTCTGTTTCTTCTCTCTTATATGTTCAACAGGAATTAAATAAATAGCTTTTACTCATTTACAGGAATTAAATCAGCAGCTCCTAGTTCTTCTTTAATAAATACCTTCTGTTTCTTTTCTCTTATTTATTGAAAAATGATCTAAATCATTAGCTTTTAAGTTTTCTCTCTGAATTGTTGCACAGGAATTAAATCAGCAGCTTCTAGTTATTCTCTCTTATTTATTCAACTAGAATTTATCAATAGCTTCTAATACTTGTACATAGCAGTTCTATAGGAATTAAGTCACTACCCTCTATTTCGTCCCTCTTATTTCTTTAAAGATAAATAAAACAGTAGCTTTTAATTATTTACAGGAATTCAGCCAGCATCTCCTAATTCTTCTCTCTTATTTATTTTATAGAAAAATCAATACCTTCCGTTTCTTCTCTCTTATTTGTTGAAACAGGAAATAAACCGTTACCTTCTAATTTCTCTCTCATAGTGGTTCTATAGGAATTAAACTATAGCTTTAAATTCCTTTTTTATAATTGATCTTCTGGAGCTAAGTCAGTAACTTCCATTTCATCAGATGTTGTTGTTTCCCAGAGTTAAGATCAGTAGCTGCTAATTATTCACTAGAATTAAATCCGTTTTTTATTATTAATTTTTTCCAAAAGAGTTCAATTATTAACTCCTCAACGTTTTCATATAGCTCTTTTCCATGAATTACATAACTAGCTTCTAATTCTAATATCTTAATCGTTCTACAGGAGGAATTCAATTGACAGCTTCTAATTCGTTTCTGTGTTTTACAATCCAATAAAATATTTTTGTCACATGTCCGGTTTGGAATATTGTTTAACTATTTTTACTGGATGGTAGTGAATGTCACGAAAAATAGTGAAAAAAACAACAAAACTGTCGTGGTATAATGGATTACAACGTACTTCGAACTGAACTACAGGAAATTTGTAAGATCGTAATGTCTCTACCAATAGTTTCTTTCCGTATGAGATTCAATTACCCTAAAAAATCTTTTTTGATCTTCTGGTACATTTCTATCGATTTACTTCCTTGAGACTGGGGAGATCGACGACGTTTCGGCAATCTTCTGTTTGTTCTCTTTTTCCAACACTCCAGACTTAGCGAAAGCAAATATAAGATTGTAGAAACGTAGTCAAGCTCGTGATTCTCAAGGCAGCAAGTCTCTGGAAATGTACCAGAACATGATCCAAGAACTGTCTCTAATATCTTTCAAAAATCAAATGTCATTAATTTTTGTGATGTACTGACATACTAGAATAAAAGACAATGAACATGATCAAGTCAAAGGTAAATGTTTGGTATTTATTCTCATAAAGAGTTTCACAAAACCGTGACACTTTTTTTTTGTCTTTCTGGACTTTCACGTGGACTTTCATAGGAAGTAGAAGAACCGAGTGAAATACTGAACATCTTATTTTGTTTAATAAGAAAGCAGATTTGCTCAAATTACTCTTTATATTTTCGTCTTAAAAAACAAACAAAACCTTAGAAGCCTTAATAATTGTCCGTTTCAAATTCTAAACAGATCACAACTCCAATAAAAGAGGAATTTATAAACCAATTATGGGAACTAAGAATGCGTCATTAAAAATACGAAACTCAAAACTATTCTAATGGAAGTATTTTTTGCTATTTTGCTACAGATCCAAGACCACGCGCTGTGTTGGAGAGGATGGCCAAAAACAAACATCACGAGATGAAGAAAACACAGAACACTACTAAACTAGTTCCAGCCTATTTCGACTTGAACTACTGAAAATTATGAAAAACCTGCAAAACAAAAATAAATGAATTAATATAATATAGTAAAACAAACAAATAACTTCTACGAGAAACAAGCAGGCAATGTTATGTTACAAATATATATATATATATATACAACTTCTGAGAGAAACAAGCAGGCAATGTTATGTTACAAAATATATATACAACTTCTGAGAGAAACAAGCAGGCAATGTTACAAAAATATATACAACTTCTTAGAGAAACAAGCAGGCAATGTTACAAAAATCTATATACAACTTCTGAGAGAAAAACGATATGTAATGGATGCTTCATGCTTATATTTTCTTTGTTATCTTGAGCTGTGAACATATTTGATTAAAAATAGTGTTGATTCAAAACATTATATAACTTAAGTAAATAAAACTCACCATAGCTGTAGTTCTTAATTACTCTTCTTCTTCCTCCTCCTCCTCTTCTTCCTCTTCATCTTCTTCTTCCTCTTCTTCTTCTTCCTCCTCTTCCGCTTCTTCTTCTTCGGCAGCAGCAGGCTCTTCTTGCTTTGGCCCCAACATGGTAGGTGCTGTAATATCTAACTCTTCTTCTTCTTCTTCGTGTCGTCGACCAGGAGCTTCTTTATTCTTTGGAGCTGCTGGATCCCATTTTGGTAGTTTTGGTTTTCCTCGATCCTTGAAGGTCGTCATTCTTTCTTCCCACGATTTCTCCAGTTCAGCTTCGTAACCAGCTTCATAACCCTTGAAATTACGTAACAGGAATATATTAGTACGTAACCAGCTTCATAACCCTTGAAATATACTAGTACTCGTAGACAATGTTATTTAACTACTTTACAAAATGACTAAATTTATACATAAACTCCGGCAATTTAACTTACCGGAATGTTTTAAGATAATTATTTTAAAAGTTAACTAAAATCTGTATACAGCTGAGTTCTTTTCTCTCTTAATTAAAGTTGTTATTGGGTTATATCATTATAAAACCGAAGCTTAAAATTTATATCATTTAAATTCAAATGTTTAGACATTTTTACATTAGTTTCCCATCATTTTAACAGGAATCGGGGACATTTATACCATCTTTCTTAAAATATTTCAATTTTCTTATCTTTTAACATCTGTTTTTCAATAAACTCTTTAGCTGTTAAGAAATATTTTAAAAACTTACTTATAATCACTTATTTCGATACGATTGGATGTGATTAGTTAACCAGTCTGACTTGATCCCAAAGGATGTCGGTACATGGGGATATGAAGGTGCCGCCTATTGGGGAGTATCCTTTGAGACATGGAGGTCCCATAACGACATAGTTCCACAATGTAGCGTCAGAGGGTGGATAGCTCCAACATGTGCCACTAGATTGGATAGTTCAAAAATCTATTGCTAGGGGACTGTAGTTCCAAAGTGCATCACTAGAGGGTAGGCGATGATATCATCATCATGTAGTAATTTAACTTGCAATCTACCTAGTGTACTATTTTTTGTATTAGCATAGAACAATCAAAATCTCTATATATATCGTTTAAATCTCATTACGAAAAATGTTACTCTATCACTCTCTATAGTTCTTAACATGATATTAGTTTCTGTATTACCCTTAGAGCCAACTTTAATGTTTCATTTTAATAATGATAATAACAAACTATATAAATACTCGAAATTAATATATTTTGCTGTTTGAATAAGCCCCTAGTGGCATATTGGCAAGTCTGAAGATTTATAACGCTAAACACCGGGTTTCGATACCCGTGGTGGGCACAGTACAGATAACCCATTGTATAGTTTCAATATTTTATAGCTTTTGTCCTTTTGTTGAATTTCGCACAAAGCTACTCTAGGGCTGTTTCCGCTAGCAATCCCTAATTTTAAAGTGATAGAGGGAAGACAGATAGTCAGTTAGTAACTCTTGGGTTACTTTTTACTAACGAATAATGGGATTGACTGTCATATTATATTATAGTGCCCTGCTGGCGTTTTAAGGGAGAGCATGTTCAGTGAAAAGATTCGACTCGCAGGTTTTTAGTCAAATGCCAAGGAATACTTGTATATCATACTTTTTGAATATGCTTATGCAGTTTAACTCATAATTTACGTATAGGCCCGTTTTTCATATTAATTTAAACATTCAAACTCTCTATATATATCGGGCATTATATTATAAATTATGAAACAACATCTACTATTTCATTCTCTTTAGTTCTTAACATGATAATAGTTTAGGCATTATTGTTAGGGTTAACGTTATAATTTCACTTCAATAACAATAATAATAAAAACTTTTCTGAATACGTAAAATTAATATTTGTATGTGTAAACTACAAAGTACAGTATACAAATTGTCAACCTTAAATAATTATGATATTAATTTTATATTTTGCTTATTACCGTTATTGAAGTAAAACTACAAAGTTGAGCCTAACGGTAATACAGAAACTAATATTATGTAAGAACTAAGGAGAAAGAAATAACAGTTTTTTATTTTATAATATGATGCATACCATATATATATATTAGCCTTTAAATGTTTTATGTTAACACGAAATATAGTGCTATAAGTAGACTGTGAGATAAACTAGTACATGCATATTCATGAAGCACGCTATACAGATATTCAAGCTATAAAATATAATTTTGAATATTCAAACGCTTTGTTATTATTATTAAAATGAAACTATCAAGTTGACCCTAACGGTAATACAGAAACTAATATTGCGTTAAGAACTACAGAGAATAAAATAGTAGTTCTTTATAATGTAATGTGTACGATATTTATCTAGAGTTTGATTGTTGTATGTTAATACGAAAAATAGTGGTCTAGGTAAATTGTAAGTTAAACTGTTACATAGTGCACTCTTCCTCTAGTGAGGTTCTTTGGAACTACCCGCCCCTTGCAACTCATTTTAGAACTATCCAGACCCTTGTAACACAAATTGAAATTACCCGCCCTGGTGACACATATTGGAACTATCCGCCTTCTGGCGCTACTCTTTGGAACTATAACGTCACGTTACCCCCACTAGGTGTCATCCTTTGATTTCTCATGCCCTCAGGTGTCAGCATCATTTGGTACCAGGTCAGTCTGGTTAATTACTAATGTGAAAGTCATTAATCTGAATCAGTATAATGAAGAAGTTAAACAAAATGGTAGAAGTTTTCCATTTTAAAACACACTTTAAATTTTTCGTAATTTTTAGGTGATAAGTGTTAGTGACAACAACATTTTAAAGCCTTTGCCTTTTTTTGAAAAATAAATAAACTTTATGTTTTGATCGACATCTTTCGGTCATATTTTAGGGTCCGAACATTTTTTTTATGTATGAACTTATGGTGTGTGAGTTGTATTACGATGTATCTTTAAATACACAATTTCTTTTTAAGTATTATATTTCGTTGAAACAGTGAAAGAAGCTTACGCCATCAAACAATTCTTTCTTGTCTTTAAATGTTCTGCGATCAAGTCTTCTTTCGTATTTACTGGCCACCTGAATCTTCGGCTGAAAAACAAAAAATATTTGTGAGAAGATTCAGAACCAAAGTAATCACATTTCAAGTCGCCATTTTGTTTATTAAGTCCTATATGACTGGAGTAAAGATAATGAAGTGAGTATGTACGATTCGACCTTCAGTATTATTAGTCAATCATATCAAACAGGAAATATAACTCGTGGTAAGTCTTGTTGATACATAAACTTCACTTAAATTTAAATAATTTTACATAAATTAAAAAAAGTATCAACTAAGTTTGTGACGTGGTAATATTTACAAAACTCGACCAGAACTGTTATTTAAACATGTATCAAATACTTCTTAATGTTTGAACACTAACTTCTCATATGCCGCTTACCATCATGAGTTACGCTTTTTCAAGAGTTTGACCAAAATGTTTATATTTAATTACTATAATAGAGATTCATAATGATTCATTTGGCTGTAATAAATACACGTACACAAAGTGTCAACAGAAACCTTTGTTGATATGTGTTCAAAACAGAGATTACAAAACTTAACATTGAAGCTGTGGCGTAGAGGTTTAATGCATTCTTTGATTGGCCGTACCCTCTGCTGTTGATTATAGTTTCACCTATTCAAGGCTTATCTGCATAGCTTGGGTCAGCAAACCAAAGAAACAACAACAACATAAGAGTTATTTTATTCCGATCTCGGGGGGACAGGCGGGCCGGTAGAGGGTTACGCCCTCTCGTCAGCCAAGGGACGACTAAAGAAAAACCGTTAGGCCTATTATAATGGTAAGGTGTATGTAATATATATGGTGTTTTAAATCCATTTTGCTTCACCACGTAGTAACCTGAATTAATTTACGTATGTGAATAATGTTATGACAAGAATTCATTATTCGACATTATACAGCGGACCAAACTGGTTAATGATTGTATGTATATTGTTGCGTCATCGAGGTCACGTGACTGGTGTGGCGCCACCTATTTTCTAGAACTACCCTGTACCTTGGCGAATGCTCTAGTATTTACTAGATATAGGGTAGCTGGTATATAAAAGAGGGTGACAACGTGACGGGGGAGTAATGTGTGTGTAGATAGTGAGTAATTGAACTGCAGTCAGAAGTATTGTTGACGTTTGTTGATATAGCGTTTGTTTTAGCGCGATTGTTGAAAATAAGTGTATCGTAAGGTTGTATTCGGAAAGAATAAATCAGTTTTATTAAGTAAGGACTTGTGTCGCTAAAGTTTCGTCGGAACGAAGTTACGGAAAGTTAAT